CAGTGGTGACACACCAGCCCCCTGCCCACTTGGCCCCCTCTGGACTTTGGGCACCAACAAGCACTGGAAGGAGGTTGAGGGGGAGCTGAGGGCAGCTCGGAGCTGGCCTGCAGGTGCCCTTCAGCATAAACAGCCTGGGCACCACAAACAGTGGCAAGAGGCAGACACGCTCCTGGGCAGAAAGGGGCAGGTCCCCAGTGAAGTCCCACCTTCAAGCTGGGGAGGGCCTGAAGCCTGGGACCAAGCTGCCAGTCCCATGGACCACAGTGCGTACTTCTGGTGCTTTTTCTGGGCCTGCCCATGGCCACCCATGGACCCATCAGCAAGCACGTTCTCCCCTCTAAGGCCCATAAAAAGCCCTGGACTCAGCCAGACCAGAAGAGATGATGGCACAACCAGCTGGACTACCCTGGGACAACCAGAAAGGAGCTACCCTCTCCGTTGAGAGCTCAAGAGATGACGGGACAACCTGCCTGCAGAGAGGAGCTAACGTCTCTGCTGAAAGCGGAACACTCATCCGGACACCGTGGCTATGGAGAGGAGCTGCCAATTCTAGGTCTCCTCTGAGCCATTCTATTGTTCAATAAAGCTCCTCTACGTCTTGCTCACCCTCCACTTGTCTGTGTATCTCATTCTTCCTGGACGCAGGACAAGAGCTCACTACCCACCAAATGGGGGTGCTGAAAGAGCTGTAACACAAGCAGGGCTGAAACATGCCCCTTGCTCACCACGTTGTGGGTGACAAGAAGAAGAGAAGAGAGAAGGAGAGAAGAGCTGTAGCCTCAGACCTAGGAGCTCCCTGAGCCAGGGCTGTGACACCCTCTTTAGGGCTCTGTGGTTCCTGGCATCTCCAAGCTTCCAGGCACCACTGCATTTTCTGGTGTGAGCTGTGGAAGCTGCTTATGGTATGCCTGGTCCAGCTGCAGCCTTGCAGGGAGCTGGCATCCATGCCAGTGCTGTGAACTGCCCGCCCCACCACAGCCTGTGTGTCTAGCTGTGGACAGTGGCCAGACCCCACTCTCACTCACAGACCCCTTGCCACTTCGTGCCTGGCTTGCCCTTGGCAAGTATGGGATCCAGGCCAGTAGTGTGAGCTGGGTGCAGCTTAACAGGCTGAGTGGGTAGAACAAGCCCAGAAGGCCAGAGCAAAACTCAGGCAAAGGCACCACTGGCCACAGAGGTTTCTGGCTGGCAAAACGACACCCCAAGGATTCTGTAACAGTGCAGCCTGCGACGCAGTGGGCGGAAGTGGTAACCAGTGCACAGTGAACCTGCTTTGTAAGGGGCACGATAGATGAGGCAAAAAAACTAAAATATTGTTTTAAAGTTCAACTGCCTTAAACAAATGTGGAATTTGAAGGAGAATTCAGGGAGGTCGTCTTGGTCCCACACTGGGGGTTATTAGAAAGTGATCTCAACTGAAAAGCTGGCAAAGAAACTTCGAATCCTTGCTCAGTAAGCAGCGCCTTCCCTCTGGGCTTCACCGTCTGCCTGTATACCAAGCCAGGCACAGACTTTGTGGTCTCACACAGACCCTCCAGCGGGCCTCCAAGCTGATGGCAAGACATGATGGTGTCTTTTTGGAAAAGGAAAATAGTTATGGCATAAGGAGATCCACTGACAGTTGAACAGGACCAGCCACTCTCTGCTGAGTCAGAATGAGCACCTGTACATATGTGTGGAACTATAAGAAAGTACAAATGACATACTTATTCTCAATTATAGCTCAGTGGTAGGACATTTGACTGCAGATCAAGAGGTCCCTGGATCAACTCCAGGTGTCCCCTTTAAAGAATTCATTTTCCTCCTTGAGCCGAACTGACAAAATAGAGTTTTACTTGAGTAGAGACCATAGTCTAGTCCCCTCACAGAAGGAAACTGATGAGCCTATGAAATAGTGGCTTTATGACCCTCTTCCTACGGCCATCCCCTACAATTCAGGATCCAACCAGGTGCTCAGCACTGCCTTAAGACCAAGGACAAGACCAAGTGCATCCCAATACCCTCCTTGAAGGTATATTTCCTGGTGCCCCACAGGTAGCTATTTGTGTATCATTCAGGGTCCAGCTCTGAGACAAAAACTGCACCAATTATATTAGCAGAGAGAATTCAACATAATTGTGGAGGAATGTTTAAGTTTTTTAGGGTTGCCCTAACAAAGCACCACGAAATGTGTGCCTTACAACAACAGAAATATCTCAGAATTTCTGGAAGTCCACATTCAAGGTGTTGGCAGGGCCATCCTGTCTTTGAAAATTTAAGGGGACAATCCTCCCTGGCCCCTTCCTAGCCTCTGGTGCTCATTGGCAATTCCTGGCACTTTATGGCTTGTAGATGTGTCACCCCCAGCTCTGCCTTTTTCACCTAACCATCTTCTCATAAGGACACGAGTCATATTGGACTAAGGGTTCACCCTACTCCAGTATTACCTCATCTTAACTAATTACATCAGTAGTGACCCTATTTCCAAATAAAGTCACATTCTGGGGTCCTGGGAGTTGGAACTTCAACATGCCCTTTTGGAGGATAACAGGAATTAGGGAATTGACAGGACAGAGTGGAAGACTAAGTATCACAGAGTTAGTACCTTCAAGAAGCCGCTGCCATCCTGGAGCAAGGAACAAATAGAAGAGGTTGAAATTGTTAAAATCTTAGAGGCTTGAGGAATATCTGTGGATCGGGGACCCAGACCCCCGGGGGGTGCTCATGTCTGCGGAGGCCTGGTGATGCTGCTCTTGTGAGACTAAGCTGCAGGCCACGGTCATGGTTGTTTCTGGGATGAACTGTCACTGCTACTACCAGGTGACACTGACAGGAACCCAACGCAGTCAGGAAGGAGCTTCTCCCTGCTCCGACCTTTAGTCCCTCTACAGCCCTACTGGCAGGATGGCCAGGAAGCTGGCTGCTAAAGGAGGAGTGTGGTTTGTGGAGCCCCTGACCCGGCATCACAGAACAGAGCACAGAAGGGCGTACTTGGAACTCAGAAAATCATTTCTTCAATCATTTCTTCAGAGGGCACATCTTAGCAGATGAAAGTGTTGACTTTATGGAGATTTGGGGCAACAGAAGAGGTGGTAGCCTGCATCCCAGAGCACGGCTTTGTGAAGAGAGCTATCATCCAGTGTCCAGAAAAATGTGGGTTCTATCTTTGAAGTGTTGCAGGTTTGGCCAAACCATTGGGCGTTTTGAGTCTCTGTTCGCAGGCGCTCGGCCCAAAACCCACAATTTAGGTGTCACTAGAGAGCCTTCCAGCTGTCGGGGGACTGCTCCCCAGATCCCTGCACTTACCCAGGAACTGAGAGCAGAGAGGTGGCAGAGCTGTGGGAGAAGGAACTGGTTGCTTCCTCTAAGACAGGGTGTTGAGTTGGCAGCAAGTCAGGCCTCGTAACTCAGAAACCCATCCTGAAGTGGAATCTGGGACAGCAGGTCTGGGTGTGGCTGCACAGGGAAAGATTATTAATTGGACCCCACTAGCATAACTGGGGGTATAGCTCAGGGGTAGAGCATTTGACTGCAGATCAAGAGGTCCCCAGTTCAAATCTGGGTGCCCCCTTGTATTTTAAACATGAAAGGTGGTAAAGGAGTTCTAGTTTATTTTCCCATTGCCGAGCCCAGTCTCTGAGTCTCCCTGCAAAGGCTGAAGAATCAGAGGACACCCTCCCCCACTGAGCTGTTGTGTTTCTCTCAGCTCCCACTCCTCTGATCTTCCCAATACCCCCTCACCTGGTCCTTGGGCTTTGCAATATATACTTTGATCTTCTGGCTATGGGTGAGAATTAGGTCCCTTACAGGGTAGCTCTCGAGAAATATGAGATCACCCACTGCAGGCCAGAAGAGAGTGTGGCAACACATTCAATGAGAGGAAATAACAGTCGGGTCAGAATTCTGTTCCCTGATAAACTATTCTTCAAGAATAAACAATTGCTGAGAAAGATTACCATCAACAGATCCTTACTAAAGAAAATTCCAGGCCAGGTGCAGTGGCTCACGCCTGTAATCCTACACTTTGGGAGGCCAAGGCAGGTGGATTACAAGGTCAGGAGTTCAAGACCAGCCTGGCCAGAAGGTGAAACCCCATCTCTACTAAAAATACAATAATTAGCCAGGCGTGGTGGCACATGCCTGTAATCCCAGCTACTCAGGAGGCTGAGGCAGGAGAATTGCTTGAACCAGGGAGGCAGAGGTTGCAGTGAGCCGAGATGGCACCACTACACTCCAACCTGGGCAACAGGGCAAGACTCTATCTCAAAAAAAAAAAAAAAAAAGAAAAGAAAATTCCAAAATATGTACTTTAGAGAAAAGTAAAATGATCCCAGATAGGAGGACTGAAATACGAAAGGAATGTTAAACAGAGAAATTGATAGATATGTAAGTAAATCTAAATTTCATTGACCATATAACATCACATTGATGTCTAACTTACAGGTTTTTAAAAATATAAAACTAAAATACTAGTAACAATATCATATAAGGAAAGAGCTGATCCAAGTTTAAGTATTATAATATCTTTATGTAACTTGGGAGGAGGACAAAGATGATTAACTGTAGACTTTTTAAATGTGCTTGCAGAAATTCCTAGTGTATCATTTTGTAAAGTTATGGTTTTTGCCATGCAAAGGGAGGTAAGGGGAGGGAGGGCACATGCTTGAAGAGAAAATAAATGAAATGGAAAAAAAATTGTAGTTAATCCAAAAGAAGGCTGCAAATAAAAAATAAAAGAAAAATGGGACAAGTGGAAAGCAGTCAGTTGGACTAAATCCTGATAAACTGTACTGGGCGAATGCTGTATTCATTTCCCAGGGCTGCTGTGACAAAATCACACACACTGAGTTGTTGAAAACAACAGAACTGTATTTTCTCACAGTTCTGGAGGCCAAGAATCTGAAATCAAGTTGTCGGCAAGGCCACGGTCTCTCTGAAGACTCTAGGGGAGAAAGTGTTCCAGGTCTTTTTCTCAGCTCCCGGTGTTGCTGGCAATCCTTGCTGTTCTTTGGCTGTAGATGCGTCACTCCAGTCTCTGCCTCTGTTCCCATGTGACATTCTTGTGTCTGTGTCTTCACATGGCTTGCTCCTCTCTGTGTGTCCATCTCTGCCTCTTCTCCTCTTCTTATAAGAACATCAGCAATATTGGATTAAGGTTCATCCTAATGACCTCTTCTTAATTTGATTACATTTGCAAAAACCTTATTTCCAAATAAGATCACACTCACAAGTATGTAATGTGAGGAGAAGATAGGACTTCAACACATCCATTGCAGGGACACTATTCAACCCATAACAAATGGTACTCCCCGAAAATTCACATCCACTGTGAAACTCAGACTACTACATTTGTAAAATTCACACATAATGTTGCATGTAACTGAGGGTCTCACTCTGTCATCTAGGCTGGAATGCAGTGGTGTGATCATAGCTCACTGCAGCCTCTAATTCCTGGGCTCAAGAAATTCTACCACCTCAGCCTCCCAAGTAGTTGGAACTACAGGCATGCACCACCACACCTGGCTAATTTATTATTGTTGTTTTTGGAGAGATGGGATGGTCTCTCACTCTTGACCTCAAGCAATCCTCCTGCTTCAGCCTCCAAAAGTGCTGGGATTACAGGTGTGCGTTTCAATGCCCTGCCCCCTCTCAAGGTTTTATGCTTTTCTAAGTAGAGCATTTCCCATATTTTGTTAAAGTTATTTCTAGATGTTTGAAATTTTTATGCTATAATAAATGTTATCTTTTATACAATTTAAATTTCTCACTGTGGCTGAAATATAGAAATATAATTAAGAGGTTTGTTCTCAATTTTTTATTATTGTGGTTAAAAAAACCTGTATCATTTACCCTCTTAACCATTTTTATGTGTATGATTCAGTGGTATTAAAAACATTCATGGCCCAGCACAGTGGCTCACACTTGTAATCCCAGCACTTTGGGAGGCCGAGGCGGACAGATCACCTGAGGTCAGGAGTTTAAGACCAGCCTGGCTAACATAGTGAAACTCCATTTCTACTAAAAATACAAAAAATTAGCCAGGCATCGTGGTGCATGCCTGTAATCCCAGCAAATCAGGAGGCTGAGGCAGAAGAATTGCTTGAACCCAGGAGGTGGAGGTTGCAGTGAGCCGAGATCACGCCATCGTACTACAGCTTGGGCAACAAGAGCGAAACTCCATCTCAAAAAAAAAAAAAATTCATACTATTGTACAACCATCACCACCATCCATCTCCAGAACTCCTTTCATCTTGTAAAACTGAAACACTATACCCATTAAATAATAACTCCCCATTCTCCCCTGCCCCCAGCCCTTGGCAGACACCATTTTACTTTCCAGCTCTACGGTCTTGATGACTCTAAGTATCTCATGTATGTAGAGTAACACAGTACTTGTCTTTTGTGATTGGTTTATTCCACTCACCATAAAGTCCTCAAGGTTCACCCATGTTGTGGCATATGTCAGAATTTCCCTTTCTTGTAAGGCTGAATAGCAGTCCATTGTATGGACAGGCCATATTTTGCTTATCCATTCATCCTCCAATGGACACTTGGGTTGCTTCCATGTTTCAACTATAGTGAACAATGCTGCTATGAACACAAGGGTGCAAATATCTCTTCAAGACCTTGCTTTCAACTCTTTTTGGGTATATATCCAGAAGTGGAATGGCTGGGTCATATGACAATTTTATCTTTGATTTTTTTAGGAAACACCATACTGTTTTCCACAGCAGCTGTGCCCTTTTACATTCCACCAACAGTGCACAAGGGTTCCATGTTCTCCACATCCTTGTCAATACTTGTTATTTTCTGTTTCTATGATAGTAGCAGTCCTACTGCGTATAAGGTGGTATCTCATTGTAGTTTTGACTTGCATTTCCCTAAAGAATAGTGATGTTGAGCATCTTTTCATGTGATTTTTAGCCACTTGTATACCATCTTTGGAGACATGTCTATTCAAGTCTTTTGCCCATTTTTTCAAGTTGTTCGTTTTTGGAGTTGTTGAGTTTTAAGAGTTCTCTGTATAGTCTGGATATTAATCCAGTATCAGATACAGTTGTCCCTTTGTATCTGCAGGGTATTTGTTCCAGGAACACCCATAGATCCCAAAATCTGTGGCCGCTCATGTCCCTTAGATAAAATGACATAGCATTTGCATATAACCTGTGCACATTCTTCTGTTTTGTTTTTTTTTTTTTTTGAGATGGAGTCTCACTCTGTCACCCAGGCTAGAGAGCAGTGGCGCTATCTCGGCTCCCTGCAAGCTTTGTCTCCCAGGTTCAAGCTATTCTCCTGCCTTAGCCTCCCAAGTAACTGGGATTACAGGCACGTGCCACCATGCCTGGCTAATTTTTGTATTTTTAGTAGAAATGGGGTTTCACCATGTTGGCCAGGCTGGTCTCGAACTCCTGACCTCAAGTGATCCACCCACCTCAGCCTCCCAAAGTGCTGGGATTACAGGTGTGAGCCACTGCACCCGGCTGCCCTCCCACATATTTTAAATCATCTGTAGATTACTTATAAAACCTAATACAATGTCTACACATCACTTCATTTGCATGGGTTCAATGTAGTACTCAGTGAGTGACAAATTCAAGTTTTGCTTTTTGAAATTTGTGAATTTTTTTTCCAAATATTCTCGACCTGTGTTTGGTTGAATCCATAGATGTGGAACCCACAAATGTGGAAGGCTAACTGTATATGATTTGCAAGTATTTTCTCCCATTCTCTGGGTTGCCTTTTCACTCCGTTGATATTATCTTTTGATGCACACAGTTTTTTAATTTTAATGAAGCCCAATTTGCCTACTTTGTCTTTTGCTGCACTCATCTTTAATGTCATATCTAAGAAAGGATTGTCAAATTTAATTCTGTGAAGATGTTGCCTTATATTTCTTCTAAAACTTTTACAGCTTAATGGCCAGGCACGGTGGTTCACGCCTGCAATCCCTGCACTTTGGGAGGCCAAGGTGGGCAGATCACTTGAGGTCAGGAGTTTGAGACCAGCCTGGCCAACATGATGAAACCATGTCTCTACTAAAAATATAAAAATTAGCTGGGCATGGTGGCACATACCTGTAATCTCAGCTACTTGGGAGGCTGAGGCAGGAGAATTGCTTTAACCCAGGAGGCAGAGATTGCAGTGAGCTGAGGTCACAGCACTGCACCCCAGACTGGGCAACATAGCAAGACTCCATCTCAAAAAAATAAATAAATGAAAGTTTTATAGTTCAGGTCTTAAATTTAGGCTTTTGCTAATTTTGAGTTAATTTTTTATATTGTGTTAAGTCAGGGTACAACTTTATTCTTTTCCACATGGATAGCTAATTCCCAGCAACATTTGTTGAAAAGACTGTCTTATCCCACATTGAATGGTCTTGGCACCCTTGTCAAAAAATCAGCTGATCATATACACAAAGATTTATTTTGGGGCACTCTATTCTATTCCACTGATTATATGTCTATCTTCATGTCAATAACACACTGTTTTGGTTGCTGTAGCTTTGTAATAAGCTTTGAAATCAGGAAGCGTAAGTATTTCACTTTTGTTCATCTTTTTCAAGATTTGTTTTGACAATTTAGGGTCCCTTGAGACTCATATGAATTTTAGGAATTTTATTTTTTCTATTTCTGCCAAAAAATTATTGGATACCAATAGGGATTGCATTAAATCCCTATCAATGCAATCCCTATTCTTAGCTCACTACAGCTTGGAACTCCTAAATTGAGCAAAAGCCTAGATTGCTTTGGATAGTGATATGGTCTGGCTGTGTCCCCACCCAAATCTCATCTTGAATTGTAATCCAAATTGTGATCCCCACGTGTTGGGTTAAGGACTTCATGAGAGGTAATTGAATCATTGGGGCAGTTTCTCCCATGCTATTCTCATGATATTTGAGTAAGTTCTTATGAGAGCTGATGATTTTATAAGGGACTTCCTCCTTCGTTCATCTTTCATAGTTCTCTCTCCTGCTGCCATGTGGAGAAGGACATGTTTGCTTCCCCCTCCACCATAATCGTAAGGTTCCTGAGGCCTCTCCAACCATGGGGAACTGTGAGTCGACTAAACCTCTTTCCTTTATTACCCATTCTTGGATATTTCTTCATAGCAGCATGAGAACAGACTAATACAGTAAATTGATACCACAGAGAGTGGGGTGCTGCTATAAGGATACTCAAAAACGTGGAAGGAACTTTGGAACTAGGTAACAGGCAGAGGTTGGAACAGTGTGGGGGGCTTGGAAGAAGCAGAAAAATGTCTTCCTGTTCCTTCCTTCTCTAGGAACTTCCTAGAGACTTATTGAATGGCTTTGACTAAAATGCTCATAATAATATGAATAATGAAGTCCAGGCTGAGGTGGTCTCAGATGGAGATAAGGAACTTTTTTGGGAACTGGGGTAAAAGTGACTCTTCCTATGTTTTAGCAAAGAGATTGGCAGCATTTTGCCCCAGTCCCAAAGATCTGTGGAACTTTAAACTTGAGAGAGACGATTTAGGGTATCTGGCAGAAGAAATTTCTAAGCGGCAAAGCGTTCAAGAGGAAGCAAAGCATAAAAGGTTGGAAAATTTGTAGCCTGGTGATGCAATAGAAAAGAAACTCCCATTTTCTGGGAAGAATTCAAGCTGGCTGCAGAAATTTGCATAAGTAATAAGGAGCCAAATGTTAATTAACAAGACAGTGGGGAAAATGCCTCCAGGGAATGTCAGAAAGCTTTACAACAGCACCTCCTATCACAGGCTTAGAGGCCTAGGAGAGGAAAATGGTTTCATGGGCCAGGCCCAGGGTCCCTCTGCTTTATGCAGCCTTGGGACATGGTCCCCCGAGTCCCAGCTGCTTCAGCTCCAGCCATGGCTAAAAGGGGCCAATGTACAGTCTAGACCATTGCTTCAGGGGGTGCAGACCCCAAGGCTTAATGGCTTACATGTGGGTGTTGGGCCTGCAGGTACACAGAAGTCAAGAATTAAAGTTTTGGAGCCTCCGTTTAGATTTCAGAGGATGTATGGAAACTCCTGGATGTCCAGACAGAAGT